AAAGTGGAAGGAGAGTATTGAAAGATTTTTAAAGTTCTTCTCAGAAAGGAGCACTATCACCAATTTCAGGCTAAGTCAAACTTTTGCCACGGAAAAGCCAAAAATATTTTCTTCAGAATTCCAAAACTACCAAAAGGCACCAGTACACCACCAGACCAATCTATGTGCCAAGTTTGGTGAAGAAATATTGAACGGTTTTAGAGTTCTGCTCCGGAAAAGAGCACTACCACCAATTTCAGTCTAAGTCGAACTTGTTGCCATGGAAACGCCAAAAATATTTTATTCAGAATTCCAAAACTACCAAAAGGCACCAGTACACCACCAGACCAATCTATGTGCCAAGTTTGGTAAAGAAATAGTGAACGGTTTTAAGAGTTCAACTCCGGAAAAGAGCACAACCACCACACCAGTACACCACCAGATCTATCTATGTGCCAAGTTTGGTGAAGAAATATTGAACGGTTTTAGAGTTCTGCTCCGGAAAAGACAAATGTGCACGGACGGACGGATGGACGGACGGACGCACGCACGGACGGAGTCCATTTTAATACCCCCGCAAAACGCGTTGTGGGGATAATGAGGAATTATTGATCACTGAGGTACAGAAACATCCCTGCCTCTATGATATTGACAGCAGACATTATAAAGATGCCGAATTGGCAAATAATGCATGGACAGCAATCAGCCAAGCATGCAAGTTAACAGGTAATATCATGTTTTATTGACAACAATTGAACTACATCAAACTTTTGAACTAGTGAACATTTTCAAAAGCAGGCACCCTTTTATAATTGTCATTATATGACTGGAGTGTTTTGTACATTAGCAGACACCCACAAAAAATGCACTTGTGAATTCCTTTAAGTTGTACCTCTTCGAACGGTTGTGCATTGCCAGGGAATCTCTCCGGAAGGTGAACAAAAATACCTGCAAAAGTTGTCACACGTTTGCATGGCGTCTGTTCCAGGGTGATTACCAATTCCACCAACATCTTCCAGCGCTTGAGTTCTACACTGTGCTTCATCAGATGATCATTGGGGTGTGTCTCGCAGTACAAAATTATGCAGGACACATGATGGCAGTGTTATCTTTTTGACACTCACAACCTTCAGGTTGTTCTTTCTGTGGAATATGCGCCATCTGTTTGCAAGAATGCCAAACGCATTTTCTACTACTCTTCTGGCTCTAGAAAGACGATAGTTGAAAATGCGTTTGCTCTCAGGTAGATATGTTCCTGGATACGGTCTCATGATGTGTCTTTTGAGCGGAGAGGCTTCATCTGCAACAAAGACGTAAGGCATAGGCCCATGATCGGTGTCTCCAGGTAGAACCGAATCTTTTGGTATGCTCAGTTTATTCCCTTCAAGAGCTTTTCCAAGCGCTGAAAATGCAAAAATACCACCATCACTGTTGCAACCGTAGGCCCCTACTTCAATGATCAGGAATCTATAACCTGCATCCACGAGAGCCAAGAGAACAATGGAAAATGTTCCCTTATAATTAAAATATCTGGAACCTGAATTTGGGGGTGCTTCAATTAGGATGTGTTTTCCATCCAATGCTCCCAGGCAGTTAGGGAAATTCCATGTTTTGAAACCATTTGCGACCTCTAACCAGTCGTTTTCGGTACGTGGCGCAGAGAGGGAAACTGGTCCTCCTAAAATCCAGATCGTATCACAAACCTTGGAATGATGCATTGAACTGTTCTTTCTCCCAAGCGGTAACTGAAGGCTATCGTTCAGATGGAATCGCCTGTGGCCAAGTACCTGCAATTAAGAAAAACAAAAACTGAACACGCTATTTAAAAGCTTATGGGGATAGACACACAAGTTGCACCCACGCACATACACATATGCCTACATGCATATGCAAACTAAACACACACTTTAATATGTACATATCATTTTACATGTGATTGTTTTCAGTCGCAGAGTGTAAGTCAAGATGGAAGTCGCTACGTGACAGATACGTCCGTATGAAAAGGGAACTGAAGACCAAAAGTGGCCAAGGTGCCAAATCCAAAAGACCATGGAAATATGCTGGCATCATGTCTTTTCTAGCAAGATTCATACAAGAAGCTGAGTGAGTACCTTTTACTAAATGCCTGTATGCTTAAATGAAATGTATACCAATTTTATCTTTTTGCTTATAATTTTTGTGTATATTTTTGTAGAACATGCAGTAACCTTGTCCTGTCAGATGACAATGCTGATGATCAACAACAAGGTGACCGATCATTGGATGCAACAGACACCAACACTGATGTTACTATGGATGTATCTACGGATAGCCAGTCCAACACAACACCATCAAATACGTTCACGTCGCGTCTTATTGTGTCGAAGGAATTATCCAAACCGACCAAAAGGTCAAGAAATCAAACTGATGATCCTGTTGGAAGAGCTATGTTAAATTATCTCCAAAAGGAGGATGCTGTGTCTAACGAGAAACAGGATCCAGATGAAGACGAACTGTTCCTATGATCACAAGTCCCTGCCCTCAAGAGATTGCCTCCACGAAAAAAGGCAGAAGTTAAGTTTTTAATTCATGAGCTTTTATACAAGGCTTGGTGTTTCCCTGATATGCAACTGAACGTCCAGACTATGCTCCACTTCGCATGAATTCCATGAATCAAGATTGGGATTTTACTGATTCATCTCAGAGGTACCAAAATCTCTGATTCTGTGACAATGTGTTGAACGGTTTCAAAACATGTTTTTTCGGTTCTTAACATTTATTGGTTCTGTGAAAGAAGATTTACCTTTTATTTTACTTATTGCATCGGTAAATGCAAAAGATATCTTTTTGTGATAAACGAACCAGATAGTTCCTGACTATTTCTTCTGTATTGTTAAGGTTGGCATGTCTCTTTTCTTGTCAAGAATTACCATACTGACCTGAGTGTTACTGCAAGTCTTTCTTTGGCAGGAATAATTCTTTGTAAGCTGGTTGGCTTTCTAGAAATGCTAGGTCCAATGAGAGCCAGTAATTCTTCAAACTGTTCTTTAGACATCCTGAAGTATTGAAAGAAACATCCCATTCCAACTCTTTGACAAGACGGTAGTATTCTCCGTATTCTCTTCTATTTTGCAGGATATTGTGCACCCATGTTGAATGTGTTCTATGTCGTTGTTTCCACCGCCAGTAATCATACATGAGCATCACAGTTTTCTTTTTGTCGATTCATGTCCTTCTTCTGAAACACACTAACAAAAGAAATGTAATATGACCAAGTCAACAAAATTTTAATTTCAGTTCAATTTATTGTATGGATAGACAGCGGTAACGCGCTGCTCGAAAAGAGGCACAAATTACGCGCGCCGATCAAGCGCTGCTGAGCACAGCGCTGCTTGCGCGCTTCCTGTATCGACGGCCACCTTGAGTGTGTGTCTTTAACATAACTCTCTTGACGTGTTTCTCATGTATGTCGAGAAATGGAATTGCTACACTAATTTGATAACACTATGTCTTTTTTCATCCACTTCTTGTAGATAAGTAGTACGATTATAGCAGTATCAATGTACCTGACACATTTGTCCCGATAACCACTCTATCATTATCATCATTATTATCATCATCATCATCAACAACATCATCTACAGAAGCTGCATCATGTTTATTTGCTGAGGAATTAAAAAGCAAGAGAGCAGTGGTTATAATGGGAAATGCACTCAAGATAACTTTTTTAATATGAATTGATGTGGAGGTACTTTTAGTAGCTGAGGGGTCACTATAGTAGTAATAGCTACGGGCAATAGTGGAGATATTAGTAGCAGTAGTGTTAGCAGTAGGAGGTTGATTTAGTAGAGGTAACAGAATCCTATTTCATCGTTTGAAGTTTCTGCTGATCACAGAATTGTCGCCCTCGTTTGTTCTTTCGATGTCTAACGATTCAAATAGAAATAACAACTTTGACAGCATGAATTTCGGAATCCAAAAGTGAAGGCAGAAACATATTTTGTAAAGCGAGCAGGCTGACAGGTCATTTATCAAGATTAAGTTGTGTTTACATTTTCAACACTCATATACGACCCCCGCATAGGTTATCTATTGGTTATCGATTGACCTGGCATAGTTGCACGTAATAGTTATATTAGATAAATAACATAAGAATATTTGATCATATTTCTCTCCACATTAATTTACGGAAGTGTTGAAGGGACATGAAAAGGAGAATTTTATTTTTATACATCGTGCACACGAGATACTAAATTGTGCTCACGATGTAATGTACTGTGCGCACGATTGGAACAATACATCCAGCGATAGTAGATATAAATTTCATTCTACAGCACAGACAGCTCCTCCTCACATATTCTACAGCACAGACAGCTCCTCCTCACATATTCTACAGCACAGACAGCTCCTCCTCACATATTCTACAGCACAGACAGCTCCTCCTCACATATTCTATAGCACAGACAGCCCCTCATTCTACAGCACAGACGACCCCTCATTCTACAGCACAGACGATCCCTCATTCTACAGCACAGACGATCCCTCATTCTACAGCACAGACGATCCACCATTCTACACATATAGAACAGTTAAGAAGGGTGACATCTCTCATTTCTTCCTAAAATAGTCTTACCATACAGTAATGAGCTAGTAATCCCACACCAGCTTCATATAGAACAGTTAAGAATGGTGACATCCCTCATCCCACATTTCTTCCTAAAATAGTCATGAATGGATGTTTCCTGCTATATTTGAATTACGATTTGCTTAGTGTCACAACAATTGGAACAGTTAAGAAAGGGTGGCGTGACTGAATGATACTCAATGCATGGAGTACTCTATATATAGAACAGCTATGAAAGGACAGCGTGACTGGATGATTCTCAGGGGTAAATGTTTGAACAGTGTCATGATTAGTCATCCCTTTACATTCTTTAAAAAACCTGATGACTCAGCACGTTTTCAAAATCTACCAATGAGCAATGATGATTATTATCTTTTAGCCAATGACATGGTTTGAATTCACCGATAGGTGTGCGCACGCACCCATCTACTTCCACTGCTTACAGAAATGTTATTTGTACTGACTACAAGCAACAGATAAGGTGTGCTTTTGCTGAACAGATATCATGGGAACAAGAGTTACAGATCGGTTCGTATTCTTTTATACAAAATCTTCACCATTTAGTCAACATTATCCTGTTAGGATTGAACTTGATGGTAAAACCTTCAACTGTGCTGAGCAGTATTACATGTACATGAAGGCAATGACGTTTAGTGATGTGGATACAGCTCAAAACATTTTAAAAGCCTCTTCTCCTGTTCAACAGAAGAGATTGGGTAGATGTGTCAAAAACTTTATTCAACATAAATGGGATGTGGTGAGCTACAGTGTTGTGAAGAAAGTCACCCTGGCTAAGTTTACTCAGTCTTCCGCTCTTCAACATATGTTAATAAATACCTCTCCAAAAATATTGGCTGAAGCCAGTCCATATGATAGACGGTGGGGTGTTGGACACTCCCTTCACAACCCAAAGCTATTAAATCCATCTAACTGGAAGGGACAAAACTGGTTAGGAAAAGCTTTGATGGAGGTCAGGCAAGAGCTTATGAACAAGACTGTTGTGATTGAAAAGTGTTAATTTTCTGTTTACAGTAAACTGAATGATAAAGCATCTTTCTACTCATGGAAGCAGGTTCTGCATCCATCACACAGCTTGGACGAAACAGTAGTCATGCAGTCTAATGAATGGTTTCAAGATCGCAGTGAATGTGTCAAGGATGCTAAGAGGAAGTTTCAAGATGATTCTAGAACAACTAAAAGAATCATCATCAAAAAGACGAGAAAGTTCTTGTGCGTCGACGAAGTAGACAGTGTAAATCACATAAAACACGCTGAAAATCTTCTCACTTTGTGTTACACTTTGGAACTGTCTAAAATTCTTAGACGGCTGTCCTGTGATTTGTGTTTTGGATGTATGTTCGATTCCGAGGGTGAACTGATCCACACATGTAAGGATATGTTAGAACAGGATCAATTTGATCGTCTTTTCATGACTGCCATGTCTGAACTCCATGATGAACACGTGATTGACAAATGGGTGGACGTGTTTAGTGGTGATCCATCTCTGAATCATGTGAACATAGTTTCATACCGCTGTAAAGACTATCGGGACACCCATTTTAAAACATCAGACTGGTTTAATGAACTGAAGCAACGTGTTGTTAAGATGTTATTGTTAGAAAATCGCTTTCAATAATTGTGAATGTAACCCTATCATTGTATATCTGTGTAGTCTAGAATTCTATTAATTAAAGTATATGTTGTATAATTATTTATACCTTCATGTTATATATTGCTTGATACACCCGGTTTCAATAATTGAGAATGTAACCCTATCATTGTATATCTGTGTAGTCTAGAATTCTATTAATTAAAGTATATGTTGTATAATTATTTATACCTTCATGTTATATATTGCTTGATACAGCCAGTTTCAATAATTGAGAATGTATCCCTATCATTGTATATCTGTGTAACCTTGAATCTCTATTAATTAAAGTATATGTTGTATAATTATTTATACCTTCATGTTATATATTGCTTGATGCAGCTGGTTCCATTCAGTACATTGTGAGTTCACAAAAGATGAACAGGGTATTGACAGAGAAGCACGAAAAAGCATTAGAAAAGTATTATTATGATCCTCACAATCCAGGAGCCTATTATGGACCCTCAAACTTCGACAGGTATTGAAGACGAAACCTCAACCTGATGTTAAGCTCAGAAAGGTGAAATGGTTTATCACCAACCAAGATGCTTACAGTTTACACAAGCCAATCAAGCATAGATTTAAAAGGATGAAAGTCAGAGTGAATTCCATTGACGAAATGTGGGATGTGGACCTTGCCGATCTTTCCCGTTACAGCACAGAAAATCAGGGTATACGTTATTTGCTTGTTGTGATTGACCTACTGAGTAGATTTACCTTTGTCCTTCCTTTGGAAAATAAGAAGCCAGAGTCCGTGTTGAAAGCCTTTAGAAAAATACTTCAAGAAAGGAAACCAAGAAAGGTACGCGTAGATGGTGGTAGTGAGTTTAAGGGAGTGTTCAAATCTTTTTTGGGAAAACAAAATATTATCACTACTATCGCACGCAACGAAAACATTAAAAGTAATTATGTAGAACGTTTCAACAGAACACTGAAATCGTTGATCACGCGTTACATGACGCGCAAAAACACCAAACATTATCTCAGTGTTCTACCTGATTTAGTGTACAACTACAACCATACTATACATTCGTCTTTACCCCTTTTATCTCCTGCTCAAGTCAATAAAAGCAATGAATTGGAAGTATGGCAACACTTGTATGTCAAACCTTTGTTAAAACCAAAGAAAGCAAAAAGTTCAGTGATAAAGAAATACAGATATAAAGTAGATGACCTTGTCCGTATCCCATATCTGAGGAAACCTTTCAGCAAAGAACTTGATCTGAAGTGGACAGAAGAACTCTTTAAAGTAACAGAACGTTTCAAAAAACAAGATATACCTCTGTACAGAATCAAAGATTTCCACGACGAACTTATTAAAGGGAGTTTTTACACTGCTGAACTGCAGAGGGTTAATAAAGAAGAAGATATTGAGTGGCAAGTGGAAAAGATCTTAAAAAAGAAACACATGAGAGGAAAGACATACGTTTTGGTTCGCTGGTTAGGTTGGCCTAGTTCTTTTGATTCATATGTTGAAGAAAACCAACTGAAAAATCTATGATGGAGAAATATGTTTTTCTCAAGAGCTCTGACACACAAAATTCTTATTTCAAGGATAACACCCCCTATCATTTTCGCATAAAGCTTAATCAAAGATTGGTGTTTGATGGATTTTGGGTTGTGTCTTTAACTGAGTTAAACTTTGGAAAGCTAGACCTCACTCATATGAACAATCCTTTTGTAGATGTACTGTGTAACCTGTGTGATAGTTCACAGGTGGGAATACCAGTTACCTTTGTTAAGACGCATTGACCTGAGGAATGGTCCCAACTTTTCCTTTGCCAATGAATACAATATCCACGTAATGGTCAAAGAGTCACCCGACATTGAAATCTGTATAAAAGCGAGCAATGGAATACCATTGTCATTCTTGAAAGAGGAGACTCATGCAACACTTCACTTGAGACATTATCCCTTTACTGATTGAACATGGATCCCCTCCCTCTGTATATCCCTGATTATAGCAAATGGCAGAATTACTTCAAAAAATACATGACAGGTACTTCTCGTGTTGTTAACGGAAAAAATGCCCCTAAAGTTATTCCATCTCCCCGACCTGTTGCTCAACTGGGAGAACCCAAAATCGAACTGCAGATGACTTCAGAACCACAAAGTGTGGTGGAGAGAGCGAATGCCAAAGTGAAGCGTCATAGATCTTTAAAAAGAGCTGCAGGTGAACAGGTTGTCACAACCAGGAAGATACGTCAGACAGGCAACATTCCCTCCAAGACAGCTAAAGTACTCAAGCGTACCCCTGTGAAAGAAAAACGACATCTTCAGTTGAACAACATGTCTTTATTGAATAGCAAAGATTTTGAAAGAATTGATTCCGAGGTCATTAAACCTATTTACTCTGCCACCATATCAGACCAGCATCCAACAACACTATTTTGTAGATGTACGCCTGCTCAGTCAAATTAATGACTCCTCCCACTGGAATTTCACATATCTAATTCGGGCAGCGATTACATCGATTTGAAGCGAACAAGATTGCATTTGAAACTCAAAGTCACTCATTCAGATGGTACAGTATTGGATAATGATGAACACGTGGCACCTGTCAATCTGTTTATGCAGGCGTTGTTTTCTCAAGTTTCAGTGTATATGCAGAACCAATTGGTGTCTTCGACTAACAATCATTATGCTTACAAGAGCATGATGAAGACATTGCTTAACTATGGAGCCGATGCCAAAAGTCCCAAATGACATCACAGCTGTTTTGCAAAGATGAGGGTGGAAACAATAGTGCCATTGAATCAACCAATTCTGTCACTGGAACCAATTATGGTTTGACTGCACGTGGTAACTTTATCAAGAAAAGCAAAGAACTGACCATGTCTGGTCCTTTGTATGAAGATGTGTTTTGGTATGAATAGACATCAGGACTTGTTTTTCACTTGAAGACCATATCAGCCAAATCTGCAAACAGGCATACTTCCATATCAGGAACATTGCTCTAATAAGGAAGTATATAAACCCACGTGTGGCTGCATCACTCATCCAGGCATACGTGTTATCCCGTCTGGATTATTGCAATGCTCTCTTGGTTGGGTTACCAAAACAACGAATTGCAAAGTTGCAGCGGTACAAAATTTAGCTGCTAGAGTTATCTCTCGAACCGGCAAATATGAGCACATAACTCCAGTTCTGATGCATCTGCATTGGCTCCCAATAGTCAAACGGATAGAATTTAAGATTCTTGTGCTTGTATACAAAGCTTTTCACGGTATTGGCCCATCATACATCAATGAACTGATCCAGTGCCATCAACCCTCCCGTTCCCTACGTTCTAGTAGTGCCCAGTTACTAGTTGTGCCCGCGTACGAGGACAAAGACATTTGGAGACAGATGTTTCTCAAAAGCAGGTCCTATGCTTTGGAACAACATCCCATTGGGCATTAAAAGTGCAGAGAAAATCTGTGCATTTAAGAGAATGTTGAAAACATTCTTTTTCAAATCATGTTACAGTTCCGAGTGACTCTTTCCTTGTCAGACTCATCTGGCGCCTTTGAGCAGGACTCATCTGGATATTGGCTATATAAATCTCTATATATTATTATTATTACATTTGATCAATGGAGTAGATTTGACTTTGAAATTGTACAGATCATTACCTGCTTTCTGTTTGATGAGTGGTAAAGCTAAACAAGAGTATACCATTGAGCTACTCGATGCACATCTCCAAATATGCAAACTCAAAGTCAACCCGGCACTGATCCTAGCTCACAACACCCTATTCCAAAATAACTCCAATGCACTCTATCCTTTCACTAAGTCTGAGGTCAAGGTCAACAGCATCCCCGTTTCTCAACTGACACACACCATTGATAATGTGTCCAACCCCATTGCTAATCGCTACATCATTGGCTTTGTTGAAAGCAAGAGTTTGAATGGGGCATATGATGGGAATCCTTTCAACTTTCAATCGAGTATGCTCAAAACTGTCAGCCTCTATGTGAATGGTGTCAGTGTACCTGGTCGCCCAACCCGTGCTGATGATGTGAACAGCTATGTGAACATGTTTGATGGTGCGGGACTTTGGAGAGAAAATCAAGGAAACTGTATTTCTAGAGAAGAGTTTTTGTTAGGAAATGCACTGTTTGTCTTCGAGCTGGAAGAGGTGTGTGGAGAATCTGAATACCTCAATCTGGTGAAATCTGGAAATGTGCGGTTGGAAATTGAGTTCAAAACTGCACTAACCCAAACCTTGAGTTGCATCATTCTCAGTGAAAGAAACTCCATCATAGAAATCGATCTGGCTCGAAACGTCTTTATCAAGTAAACACAGAGATGAAAGCTTCGCAGTTGATGTGTGCCCTTCAGTGTGATTCAACCCTACAGAGACATGTCTTGGGGGTGTATGCCAGAGATACACTTCCTATTATCACACCTTTCATGCAAAGACAAGGTGTAGGACTTATTGTGAATACTGAGATCAGACAAAACAGCGGCCGTCACTGGATTGCAATGTACTTTAAACACAATAGAGCCGAAATCTTCGATAGTTTAGGAGATGCTGTTGATGTTACATTTGACCACTATTTAAAGGTTTATGCTGGTTCTTACTTACGTAACAATCACCAGTTACAATCTGTAGATTCAAATGTCTGTGGGTTCTATTGTTTGTACTATGTCTTATGTAAAATTAAAGCACATCAGAGTCTAAACCATATACTTCATCAGTTTGATATACATAACTTCATGTGGAATGACACTCACTTTGTATCTGAATATATTTGTAATTATTTCAAATACTGTACTCCTTCTTGTCTAGATTGTAATTGATACTATTTATGTATGCACCAGAAGAAAAAGAAAAAATCAATAAAATTAGTGTAGATGAGATTATGTTTGTGTTGTGTATAAATACCTTTGCATCATGACATTTAGTGTAGTTCCGTGATAAAGGGCAATCTGGATAAATCATGGAGGAATGTGCGTTACCATTTCAAACTCCCACCACAATATCGGTTGTGGGTGGTTCTTCAAGTGGAAAAACATTTTGGGTTGCACGACTCTTAAAACAAGCTGGTAGCATGTTCGATCCACCACCCAACCTGATTGTGTATTGCTATCCTGTGTGGCAGGATGTCTACAGCGAACTTGAGAGGGTGATTCCCAACATTCGATTTAAAGATACACTACCTAGGGAAGAGGAGTTAAAATCATATTCCTTAGAATCTGATAAACGGTGTGTACTGGTAGTAGATGACTTCATGCAGGACATTTGTAAGAACCCTCTGTTTTACATCTTTATACCACACTATCTCATCATCTGGGGATCACAGTCATTAACATACAACAGTCA